TCATACTGTAGAAATAGTAGAAGGCTTAGTGAGTGCAGTCAACCTTGTATCCATGGGTTCCACATCTGTGCATACAGAGGGCTGACTATAAAAGACTTGAGCATCCATGGATTTTGGTATCACCAGAAATTGGTCCTGGAACCAGTCCCCCATGGATACTGAGGAATATTTAAGTACTTGGGTTGGGGAGTTTGATTTGTTCCTAGATGAGATACTGAGCAGTAGACTTCATTTGTGTGATCACTTAGTGCCGATATACCATAATCCATTATCCACTCTTCTCTGAAGCACAATTTCATGTTGTGGAGAGTCATCGCATAATAAAAATCACAATGTAAAGGTCAACAAGTTTCCATTCCGCTATTGCAGTTTATATTTCCTTGAAATTCTTAGCTCACCCAGCTCCATTTTTATTTCATTTTATTCTCTTTTCAGCTCGTCTTGTTTTTAATTTAATCCTATCTTTTTATCTCAGTGTCTTTTTTTAAGCTTTCTGCACATGTTTTGGAGAGTCATGTCTTTCTGGATACTACCAAACATGTTAAGGTTTTTTCTAAAATACTTTCTTGAAAATCATTTTCAGGTTTGATGCCTTCTCCTGTGATTGAGGGTGATGTTCTCTTTCTCTTGTCCTCCAGTACTTCTTCATGGGTTCTGTGTTGTATGTTTTCACTTTACTCATTCTAAAATGATCCGCATAGACCCTGGGATCAGCAGCAGACAGTGTATATACCACCTTCTGTCCATCTGCATTTTTAAAATCTTTTCTGCGAGGTCTCCCAATATCCAATGTCTTTCAGGCAATTTGGGGAGCTATGTTATACTGAGGTAGAATTTTGCCATCCCCTTTCTTTCTGCCTGTGCCTTTGATACTCTGGAATATTGGAGCCCATGTTAAGAACATTCAGTATGCGCTTTATACCAAAGCTGGCACTACAGGCACAGTCGCTATAACACTGTACTTGCTATGACTGTAGTTCCAGTGTGGACCACTGCCAGCCCCACTGTGATCACCCTCCATTGTTTCCTGGGAGTTAATCTCCAAGGTGATTCCTAGTAGAATAATCCTATTTTATTCTTAAAGAATGGTAAGGATTTATTATTAGTTAATGAATTTCTCCAATTCAGGGGCCAGGAATGATAAATATATGAGGGTGCTGCCTAAGTTCTTTTAGGCAGGGAAAAACTTGTTTCATTTAACAAAAAGCACATGTAAGCATCATCTTTTTTTTCTCAGTTCATTTCAGTTGGTGTCTATTTGTGTGTGTATGTGTAGGGGTGGGGTATAGGCAATACCACAATAAATGTGCAAGTAACATAAAATTGGATATTAATGTAAGCATGCTATGATGAAAAATTAAACTGAAAAGAAGGACGAAAATCCATAATCCTAGTTTCCCATTGTTATGTTGTTTAAGACATCATTAGAGTTATTTTTATGGAAAATTAATGAAAGCAGCCAGTATTGTATTTGAAATAGCTTTTAAACCACAATCCAGCAATACCTACATTTAATGCTTGAAAATCTGTATTGTTATTGTTAATCTCTAACTACCTATTCTAAAATTCAACTATAATTAAAGAAGCATACACTTAGGGACTTCCCTGATGGCGCAGTGGTTAAGAATCTGCCTGCTGGGCTTCCCTGGTGGTGCAGTGGTTGAGAGTCCGCCTGCCGATTCAGGGGACACAGGTTCGTGCCCCGGTCCAGGAGGATCCCACATGCCGCGGAGCGGCTGGGCCCGTGAGCCATGGCCGCTGAGCCTGCGCGTCTGGAGCCTGTGCTCCGCAACGGGAGAGGCCACAACAGTGAGAGGCCCGCGTACCACAAAAAAAGAACCTGCCTGCCAATGCAGGGGACATGGATTTGACCCCGGTCCAGGAAGATCCCACATGCCAAGGAGCAACTAAGGCCGTGAGCCACAACTCCTGAGCCTGCACTCTAGAGCCCATGAGCCACATCTACTGAAGCCCGCGCACCTAGAGCCTGTGCTCTGCAACAAGAGAATCCTCCGCAATGAGAAGCCCGCACACCGCAACGAAGAGTAGCCCCCGCTCACCACAACTAGGGAAAGCCCGCACACAGCAATGAAAACCCAATGCAGCCAGAAAAAAGAAGCATACACTTAAACATCTTGAAGTTGAGTAAGAGAAGAGACAATGGATATAAACTTCACCTTGTAAAGTGGTTTGCCTTTTGAGAAGAGGTTTGATCCTATAGAAAAGGCTCTGCTCACTGCTTAGCATGTGGTATATGCTTAAACTGTTTTATTTAATCCTTACAACACCTTTTAAATTATTATTTATCTCTCTGAAAAAAAATAAGGTTTAGAGAGATTAAATAACTTGGCCTGAGGAGGTACAGCTAGTAAGTACCAAAACCAGGTACTTTGAACCTAAATCTCTTTGATCCAAAGATCATATTTGTAATCACCTTTCAGCTCCCACCTCCGACTTGAGCTAAGCAGAATGAACAGAATAACAAATCTACTGGTTTAAACCTAACTGTTTTTCAGAGCTTGCATGTGATTTGGCCCCTGCTTTCCTCTCCAACTTCATTTTAGAATACACACCCCAGGCTCTGCTCCTGGACACAATGGCTTCCTTTCTGTTCCTTAAATACCACATTTGAGGGCCTTTGCATATGCCATTTCCTTTGCCTGCGGTGTTCTCCCTGGTCTCTTCCTTTCTCTGCCTCCTTCTCTCTCAGGTCTTAACCCAAAAATCATTTGTTCTGAGTCCTCTTCCAACCATGGTGTATGAAGATGGTGCTTTCCCCATTTAAAGTCCCTCCTGTCACCTGTTATTTCCTTCCTAGCATGTGACCAATCTGAAATCAATCTGCTCACTTACTTGTTATGTATCTCTCTACAGAATGTAAGCTCTCTGAGGGCAGGAACTTTCTCCCTCTTAGTTATTACAATATCTACGGAAGTTGGAACAGCACTTGACATATAATAGATGTTGAAAAAAAGCAATTGAATGAAGAATGGATGGGTGACTTTGAAGTTTATATATTTGTTTTTACTTGGAAACACTGTCTTTAAATTTTTTTTGATGGGATGTATTTGAAAATATCTTTAAGAATTTTGAGTGTTCTAAATCGTGTTTAGGGATTCCCTCATGGTGCAGTGGTTAAGAATCCACCTGCCAATGCAGGGGATGCGGGTTTGAGCCCTGGTCCGGGAAGATCCCACATGCCATGGAGCGACTAAGCCCGTGCTCCACATCTACTGAGCCTGCACTCTAGAGCCTGCATTCCACAACTACTGAGCTTGCGTGCCACAACTACTGAAGCGCATGCACCTAGAGCCCATGCTCCGCAACAAAGAGAAGCCACCGCAATGAGAAGCCCGTGCACCGCAACAAAGAGTAGCCCCCGCTCGCTGCAACTGGAGAAAGCTTGTGAGCAGCAATGAAGACCCAATGCAGGCAAAAATAAATAAATTAAAAATAAATAAATAAATAAATAAATCGTGTTTAAAGCTTGATCGGGACACTTAATAACATAACCACAGACCACTGCAACTTCCTGTGATAAGAGATTTCTGCTTTGGTTTTGATGTGCCCAATGTTCTCATTTAAATAACTAAACTAAACATGTGTATTAATTAGAATAGAACTCTTTAGCTAATTTTCTGCAATAGAATTATAGTGTTATAGAATTCTAACAGTTTTAGCTAGATGAGGACTTAGGATACTCTCTAGTCTAACTGAAATATTGTGGAAAGTTAAAAAGGCTTCTTCAAGGCTACACAGGTAGATCCAGGTCCAGAAACTTGGAACGGGGCCCTTTCCACTATTTCAGGTCAACTCTTATTGTGTTTCTTCCACTCCCCTGCTCCCACCCATTATAGTGAATATTTTTATAGGAGCAATAGATTTTATATAGAATTTTATCAAAATAATTCTGTAAAAAAAAAAGTAGCAATATTAACCAGAGTTCTCAGTTTACCTTAAGTCCATAAGAAATGAAACAGTAACTTTCGTGCATGCCTTAAAACTGAAATCATTGCACACTGTTCCGTCAAAGGTAGTTGTAATGTAGGCACAGAGGCCTGTGGGCTGGATCTTCATACAGAAAGGGAAAGAAGTATCAGGTTCAGGATGAAATAAATCATACAAATTTTTTTTTTGTATTTTTCTACATAGTTGGCAGTTGAAACTATTGCATGTGAACCTCATATTCAGGAATCACAAATATAAAAAATTGGACTTAATAACCTATAGATTTTATGAGCAATTCTCATGCCTCAAAGGAATCCCTCATTTTTCAGAAATGTTTCTTGAAAATATAATTTGATTTACAAAACTTTATGCATATTTCTAAACAAGATAAACCTTGCCTTTATAACCTCTTAGAAGCCGAAGATTGATTTTCTAAGAAAAGAAATAAAAGAAAATAAAAAAAAAGAAACACCAAAACCAAATTACATTGTTTTGTTCATATAAGGAGATGAAGGAAAATGAACATGTGATTCATCAATACAAATAAGATGCCCAGTGAATGAGGGCAGTGAATATATAAAGCTTCTATGTAGCTCAAAAATAGTGTTTTTGCTAGGAAATTATTTGTGTAAAACCAGTATAATCAAGACCTGTGTTGTCTACTTTATTCCTCCTCTTCTAAGGTCAGCAGCGAAAGTAAGTTTGTCTCACTTGCCTCCCCTGACCCCTTGCTTTTATATGGCAAAACAGACCACAGTGTAAATGACTATGAAATTTAGCTTTTCTCTGTGAATAAGAGGATGTTTATGCTGACTTGATAGAACTCCATTTCTCTTCCATTCTTTGTTCATGGAATGATCACAGGATATGGGGAAAACATTATTCATCCCCAAATGACTATGCATATAAGTCATAGAAGCATCTACTCCTAGAACTGGGAGGGACCAAGGGGTTATCTTGTCCAAAATCTTCTTGTAGAGATCAAAATGGCCTTAGAATCCTGTGCCTATGGTGATGAGGCCTTATTTGTCTTTGTGTGTCTGCATGTGCAGGAATACATGGACTCCAACAAATACATTGAACATCTGCTGACTCAACTTGAGGAGCAACACAGAAGTCTCTGGAGGTGAGTTCAATCCACATCCTCAACTAGTAGCAGCATCTATAAATTTGATCTTGATCACAGAAGCATGGAGTTGGCAAATGGTCTCTTCTACTTGGTGCCAAAAGCACCTCTGGGGGCAGAAATCAGCAGAGGCTACCTAGAGAGTTCCATTCCTTTCATTAAAGTGAAGCAGTGGTGCCAGAAGTTGTCCTTGAGTGAAGGACCTGCTGAGAACTGGGAAGGTGGTGGAAATCATACCATTTGTCAGGGTCAAGGAGCTAATTTGCCCAAGGCCATGCAGCAAACTTATATCGTAGAAACTAGGACCCAAATTCTCTGGCCCTTGCCTGCTTAAATATTATTTAAGTTTTTCTCTAATTGAAAGGTTGAACACTTCTGCTTAAAATTTCTAAATTCATATTAAAGAATATGTATTTCGGGAATGCTGTAGTATATATAGGTCTCCCATGTTTAGGTTTTTGTTCTATGTGGTGGGTCCTGATTCTAGGTAAGGAAAGGTATGTGAGAACATTTGTGCAGGTAAATTGGAAAAAGAGGCGAGTGTCATAGAAGTCATACTCCCAGGTTATTCATTCCCTGAGGCCTCTTGGGAATGGAGATTATTTTGATATTATTATCTAGGTCTTTGGGGTCCGTGTGGTCAGGGTCTTCCTAGGTGCTTGTATGGTCTCTGAATTCCATTTACTAAATTCCTATAGCTCTTGTTATCTGGAATAAATATGCTAGTGCTCAATTACATGATACCTTACATTGCACAAGAATTGTTTAATGTGATTAGCTTTGTCGCCCAGGGGTCAAAAAGCCCCTAGCGTCCTTTATTTCTCATCTCCTCATGTCACGGAAGACAGTGCTCTCTCTGTACACAGAGATATTAAGCAGGTAAGTGTGACCTAACCCTGTGGATTTCTTGTCCAACCTTATCTAAATCCATCACCCTTGGTCTCTGTACCGGCTGATGCTGCCTGTTCTACACGCACCCTTGTAACAAATCCTAATAACCTTGAAATTCATCTTCTCTGAGGAATTCTAGTTCTTGGGCGAAATGCCTGATATTTTCATTTGTTCTGCTCTTCTGTTAGTTTTCCTACTAGAAAACAGATCTGTGGTTATAGTAATAGACAATATTCTATTTCTCTACCTCGAAAAGCTGCTGGTAGGATACAACAAAAAAGTACAGTTTTCAGGTCTGCTTGCTGGTAACAGACACATCAGTTAACTTTATATAACTTGTTGCAGTATTTGTTAGATTTCTTTTTGAGAGCTCTAACCAGGTTTTCTTTTGTGAACCAGTGTGTTGTATTAATAAAACCAGCAGCAGTGTATTTATGGTTATATGCCTTTTAAATTATATTTTCTGTAGATCTACTACAATGTATGCTTAAAAGCTTATGTAACTGAGTTGTAACATTTTCTTTAAACTATTTGTATAGAATAATTTTACTCTTTTTCAAAAGAAAAAATGCACAGGTGATGAATACCATCTTGATGAAAGAAATTAGAGTTTAATTTGGTCAGTGTGTCTTATACACATCATTGAAGAGGAATTATAGTTTCACAGGTTTTTGAACCAAAAAACCTGCATGGAAAAGAATACTTTCCTGCTTTCTTAATTAAGGTAGTTAATAAAAACCTTTGGTTTCCTCTGATACGATTAAATTAAAATCTCATTTCAGGTGCAAACATAACCTAACATAAAGTAAGAGCTCAGAATTTTGCGGGCAGTCACTTCCATTTTCCTTCCAAGTACGATTACTGCTGGTGAAGAAGCAAAGCTTTTTATATAGTGTCAGAGGATCTAATAAAAAAGCTTCATTTGAATAACAATAAAGGGCAATGATTCCATTTGAATAGTCGGAATAACTACCAGTGAGAAAATGGAAAGAGTAGTATTGAAAAGAAAATGAAAACCAATAATAGCAGACTTACATACTATTTATTGAATCATGAAATTATACTTGATTACATTTTGCAAACAGATCTTGACTGACTTACAGTGATGGGCTTTCTGATGGTGATTACAATATCACAACGGCAACTATAGCCAAACGTTTTATGGTGAACGATTTGTGAGTGACGGTGAGCAGGGGGGATCTTTTTTTTCTGCTTTTGATTGAATAGTTAAAATGCTTTCTTGAGTTGGGGTAGACTCTATGATGTGTCGAGCATCATGGGAAAGGCATGTCATGTACATAAGCACAGCTAACGTGTCTGAAGTTAAACAGGCATTCCCATAACTCAGTATACGCTTCTTCTGATTTTTATTATGCCTTTAATTTGTAGCTGTTACAAATTTCATGGAATAGGCTACTTGTCATTGCTGCTGATATTAACTAGTGGTCTTCCATTTATACTTAAGCTAACTCAAGTATAGGTTAAAAGAAACTTAAAAGAAAAAATTGAATATTTCGATCTTCCAACAGTAATAGTAGCCAGCATTAATTTATGGCCACAGTCTCTGAGGACTGATCAAAACATGGTAAACACATGTCATACTGTTATTGCCTCTTGCTTAATGATAAAAGAATTGGACAAATGGTAGAAGATTGGGCCTAAGAATTAGAAGTCTTTTTTTCGTGGAGGAATCTCCTAGCCTTTAATAGGCTTTAGTCACTTTTTATAGCATAACCATGTGCTGTGACACAAATATATTGCTGTAATCATGCTCTCAAGATAACTGGCTATTTCGGCGTCCTGTTTAGTATTCTACTGAAATAGACCTATAATCTATCTCTGGGTTTTCAAATTGCAAAGGAATTTGTGGAGTTCAAATATAGCTGTCTGGCAAAGAGCATTTAGCTCAACTATGTTTTGATACCAGCAGAAAAAAATTTCTGTGAATTCATCTGAAGAAGAGGGTGGAATCAGGATCTAGAACCGAGTCTAAGACTTGGGTACAAGTCTGGGTGGGTTTAATTTGCTCTGCCTCTCCCTGCTTGATGAGGAAAAAATAAACACACCCAGTGACAACTTGTTTACTAGTCAGTGTTGAAATGTGATCATACATTTCTGTACATTTATTTCTTTAAATGAGGAAAGTTAAGATTAGGAGGAAAACGCTCTTCTGTACTTAATGATTTTTGTGTCATCTGTTACTATTTCCATTTGGCTAAATATATCTGTGACTGACAAGAAAGGGTGTGAGAAAACAACTGCTGAGAATGTCTTTCTGCTATTTGACAGAAATCTTTATCCATTTGCAGCCTCAGATTAAGAGTTTAGAACATAGACAGTTGGAAAAGACAAATTGAATTCATGAATATTTATGGTGTTAATTACTCTTTCATGTCACATACGTGAAAGTATGTATGACAAATAGAAGCAGCATAACAGTATAGAAATGGAAATAAGACTGGATTGGAGGTTTTGGAGACATGGACTCTGGTTCTGGACCATCCAAACTGGCTACTGGGTAACACCTCTGAGACTGAGTTTCCTTAGCTCTAAAAAGAAGCTATCAATATAGCTAGTATTTAAGACAGCTGAGCACTGAGATTACATGAAGCATAGACGCAAGAGGGAGGAGACATGGGGATATATGTGTATGTATAGCTGATTCACTTTGTTATAAAGCAGAAACTAACACACCATTGTAAAGCAATTGTACTCTAATAAAGGTGTTAAAAAAAAGGCATTACCTATATATGACATGTACAGATAGGTATAATCTTATTTTTCTAGAATAATTATACAGCTGGATCCTTATGTAGCATTTAATACATGTCATGGAAAGCTTCAAAGAACGGGGGTAGAAGTGACTAATATAACAGATACCTAAGAGCTTGCCAGTGATTGAACCAGATAATGTCAAAGCATTCATTTCAGATTTTCATAGCTTGAATTGCAGACAGAGTTATCAATAGCCTGTAAGTAAGTGAAGAATAAGTAGGTTTGCAAGGCCAAAATTAAATGACACGATCTGGTGAATGCACAGTGCCAGTTGCCAACCTGCAGATGCCAGATCGAAGTTTCATTTGAACAAGCTATGTTTAGGCTAGGGTTTCTCAGGCAGGGCACTGTTGACATTTGGGGCCAGATTACACTTAATCATGGAGGTGGGGTTGTCCTGTGCGTTATAAGGTGTTTAGCATCATCCCTAGCCTCTACCCACTACATGCCAGTACCATCCCCCATTGTGACAACCAAAAATGTCTCCGGATATTTTCCAAATGCTTCCTAGTGGCAACATCCTCTCCTCTCCCTGGTAAGAGCCAGTGATCTAAACAGTCATCTGCATAAGCATTTTTCTAAGCATATCCCAAGAAACACTAGTACAGTATGGTATGGATATTTTAAGAAAAATAAAGGTATTCTGTGGTCAGATTTGAGGTATACTAGGTAAAACCAAGCTTTAAGATTTTATTTTAATTGTAGAACTATTCAGAGCCATTTATATTGCTAATATGTGATAAGCATATCGAATATAGACTATAGAATATAATTTTGACTTAAAAAAATTCCCAAATCCTATCTTTCTTGGAGCATCTACTCTGACTAAAGGTCTAAGGAACATATTTTGGGAAATGGTGATCTATCTAGTTTGGTAGCCAAATATACAAAAACATAGCTGGTACCTCTTTCTTCATCCTTCTCCCCTTACTTCACAGGTACTAGGATGGGTGACTTGTAGAAGAGCAGCAAATAGTCTGGGTTGTTGGTGAAAGGGGAAAGTAGATGCGTCGGAAAGCCAGTCCCAAGTTCATTACCATTTTTCTGAGGGGCAACTAGAGCCTCAATACCAAATTCCAAGAATCTGAAGAACCATTGATTACAAGCTATGTTTGCCCTGGTAAACCAGTTAACTCCTGCTTCCCGAGGGTAGAAATGGTGGTTCCCTACATCACCAAGAGGAGTTTAATTGACAAGCGTATATAGTTCTCTAGGTGCAATAAGAGTCCCTAAGGCCTGTCCCTTCCAACAATAAAATGATAGTTTCAGTGTATCCCAAATTCTTCAAAATAGACTTTTGCATTCTGGCTTATTTGTGATTCTTAACCTAAGGA